AAATTATTTTGAAATGGGTTTGAATCAGAACATGTCCAGGACCCTCAGTGACCTGGTCTCTGTCCCCGCAGGTACGATCTGGCGCAGAACAACTCCATCCGTGAGATCGAGGCGGTGCGAGCTCACGTGTCCCACCTGCGGGAGGGCGTCCTGCGGCACTGCGCCGTGGGCGACCTCAGCTTCAGGCCCAAAGCCGAGCTGCAGAGCCTCCTCACACACCTGGACCAGGTGGACACGGCCAAGAACCCGTGCATCCGGGAGGCCCGGCGCCGCGCCGTGGTGGAGGTCCAGGCCATCGTCACCTTCCTGGACCTGCGCGARGCCCTGGTCTGCCGCCAGCCGGGYCCCGAGGAGCACCCGTCCCACCGGGCCGTCTGGATGGTCCTGGGGAGCCTGTCCAATCTCCAGGCCCAGGTTCTGGGCTTCGACGGCAAGCGGGCCGACAAGAGCTACATGATGCTGGAGGAGCTGCTGACCAAACAGCTGCTGGCGCTGGACGCCGTGGACGCCCACGGAGACGAGTCCACCAAGGTGGCCCGGAAGCAGGCGGTGAAGTTCGCCCAGAACATTCTGAACTACCTGGACATGAAGACAGACGAGTGGGAGTACTGATCCAATCGGAGGAGCTCGGCTCGTTCTCATCATCATTCCATCGGCTGTAAATATAAACTCAATCTCCCAGAATCCACTGCTGCAGCCTCTCTTTGTCTGTCCGTGGCTGAAAAACTCACTGCTCCTTTTTGTAAAAACACATCACCTCAGTGCGTCGGTTCTGGTTCTGGATGGTTCTGTTGCGATGTGAATGTGTGTGCTGTAGAGTTTTTTTTTTTTTTTGCGTCTGGTCGTAGAAATGTGCCGCCAGCGCTCAGAACTTCCTCCTGATCGCCGCGGATGGCGGTTGACTCCTCGGTGTGATCGTTGAGCAGCGGCAGGGTCCAGACCCGGGTTCCTGCTGGTTCTGGTCAAACAAAACAGTTCTCCAGTCTTTTTTAAACACATTTAGTTACACAGTACGGAGAACTGTTGGTGCCATCCRGTGGAGACGGAGGCATTTAAAGCCAATAATGTGTCACGTGATGCAGTTTGTACCAGGTACGGCAGGAAGTTTCATCATATAATAAAACACATTTCTGTCACCGATCAGAGACATGAAAAATGTCTGTAATTACATTTATACCAACAGATTTTAATACTTAAGACACTTGTCAGAGTAGAGATGTACGGCAGATCTTTATTTTAATTCTGACGGGTAAGAATGATTGTGACCAGGAGAAACACCGTTACTGAAATTTAAACAAAAGAGAAATGTGATTTAATTATTTAGTAAAACTTCCTGCCATACTTGGTGCCAACTCGAGCCTTTTAACATGATGGCACAAAAATTCTTCATATATTTACAGAAATGAGAGAGTAGAAGACAAACATTAGCCTCTGAGTGTTAACTCCCTAAAAACAAAACAAACAAAAAAACAAAGAAAAGGAAATAAAATCCATTTCATGGTGATAAACTGAAGTTTAAAAAAGGAGCACTTTCCTTTATCGTTGGTCAGATTTGAGTTTACTGAATATAGTGTTTAATTGCTGCTGCTTCTGTAGGTGGATTGTTTAGTTATTTTTTCGGAGTATGAATTGTCTCTTTAGGAAAAGGAGGAAAGACAGATCAGAACTGACAGAAATGTCTGCTGTTGGACAATTCTTAGTCAAAACTAAATATTTGTGCCTTTTGCTTTTCACCGTTTCACCTTTGTTTTTGTTTTTAAAGCCGTTTTTAAGTGCATGAGGAATCCTTTCTGATAAATGTAAACAAGGAAGCTAAAGTACCGAATGTGTTTATAGACAGAGAGCACCTTCACCATCATCATCATCACCATGACATATCTGCACAAGTTAGCAATCCTGACTTTAATGATAAAGATCAGGTCGGATGTCACCAACTGAAAACACACCAGGAACAGCTAAAACAGAACAGTCTAAAGTAGAACAGTGTTAGTGCAGCTAACGAGTGTGGCTAACAGAACAGTGTTGCTAACAGAACAGAGTTGCTAACAGGACAGTGTGGCTAACGTGACAGTGTGGCTAACAGGACAGTGTGGCTAACAGGACAGTGTGGCTAACAGGACAGAGTGGCTAACAGGACAGTGTGGCTAACAGGACAGTGTGGCTAACAGGACAGAGTGGCTAACAGGACAGAGTGGCTAACAGAAGAGTGTTGCTAACAGAACAGAGTTGCTAACAGAACAGTGTGG